TTCATCTCACAAGGACCACCTAAAGCCTGAGATTTAAAATCATTAAGAATATTTAATAATTCATCATATACTTCCGTTGGATTCATCAAGTCTATATAAAAAAGGACCACTTAAACCATGGGTTGTGAAGTCGTTAATAACATGCAACTCATCATTTCACTTTGGTGGTTTCATCTAGTCTTTCTCACTAGGACTACCAAAAACTTGAAATATGAATTCATTAAGAGAAAAAGCTCAACCTTGTGTGTGTATATTGTTTGTCATAAAGATAGGTAACGATGTACATTGTGAGTCTTTTTCTCGTTTAACCACATGAAACTTAAACAATTAAGTTGGGTATCCATCATGAATTCCTCAATCAAATGTGTTTAAGACTTATCCCTTAAAAAACCATAAATTATTTTCTTTTTTAACTTTTGAGTTAATGAATAAAAAAATCAATTCTCTCGTACTCAAACATAAGAACCATCTCTTTATGTTATAGACTTGTATCATCTCTCATTATTTTAGGCTTTGATTTTTAATCACACTTGACAGATTGTGAGTCATGTAAAGATATAAAGGATAGAGATTTTTTTAAGGATTCTCGATATGATAGACTCTTAATTTTTTTGATCTCTTGCATGTCTAAGTAAAATATATCATTTAGACTTCAGTAAAGCTAGCAAAATAAATTTATTTTTACACGTTTATACAAATCTATTCAATCAAAGATAACACATACCCGTTAAAATTATATCATTTATCTAATTTATATCATAATTATTCTTTAATTCATAAAATAAAATTAATCAAAATTCCAAAAACATCAAATATCGAAATAACATACCTGAAAAAGACATTCTAACCATTAGACATCGAAAAAATTATAGATTAATTTTTGGGTGTTAAATACCGTAACTCTGTTCTCATAAAAAAAAATCAGCCCTCACAACACTCTTCGATATGGTAGCAAGAAAGGTTAAAATGGAAACCAAATAATATTATAGAGAAAACGACGATTGAAAACCAAAACAAAGAAAGTAAATAGTGATGTTACCCTATATTTCCTTTTTAAATAATTGGAGAGTGCCATATAATCCTATCCTTTAAAGTGTTGCTTCTCCTCATTTCACCACTGACACTGTGATACATGTATACTCCTAGACTATTCAAAAATAATAATCATCACCACAATGTCAAAAAATTAAAATAAAATAATAGTGCATTTATCAAATGTCACATCTTTCTATATCAATCTCAATTCAAATTATTTTATTACATACCTTCGAATAATGAGAAATAATTGTTATACCTTCTACAAATATTAATACAACATATTCACAACGAATGAACCTGTGATAACGTATCCAAACAGAGAGTCTTAAATACTCCACATCCCTTTAGAGTTTTAGAATAAGGATTTCAAAGACCTAAATCTCAAGAAATCATAACTTAATAATCTCTTCTCACAAATTCACGTTACTTGTCAAAACCAAATTTATTGCCACCTAATCATATTCACTTAATTAACTAGCTTATGAGTAGTTATTATAACCATACAACTGACAAATACATTAAAGACCATTATAAAATCTCTCAACCAACACATGAGATGTGATTTAAATGAAACCACCTCATCTTTATTCTCTTTGTTCTACCTCCTCATGTAGACATAATATATTTGACACTAACCAATGGATAATCTACCACTTATTATTATTTTCCACCCAAACTAAAAGAGATAAATCACATATAACCGTCGTAATTCATTTAATCTCATCAATAAATAGTTAGTTAGAGAATCTTAATCTTGTCCAAATAGTTAATATCAATAATCTAATATTTGATATATTAATAACATATAATTTTATGTCAGATTAGTAAATTTAATGCTGATATATTACTAAAAAATAGGTAAATTTAATTGAAAATGTGCATCAAATATAAATGGTAAGAAAGTAGAATAATACTATTTATTTATACAAATTTTTTGGATTACTATTTTTTTTACCCAATTGAATTTCCATAATGGTGAAAAACCCATCTTCTAACAAATTATAATCAAACAAAATAAAAATAAAAAAGAAATAGAAAGGTAGAAACTAGCATCGTACCATTCCTTCATTTATTTTAACGGTAGCTATGTCAGTTCAATTTCTAGGTTTTCAAGTTCCTACCCAAGGCAAGGTAGCTGTATACCCCAACTGATCTTGGCTTTGCTTCAAGGTACAATCCTTTTTACTTGCTATGATTTCTCTAATCATTGTTGGGTCTCGTATTCTTGATTAGAACAGAACTTGGGTGAAAGTTTTGAATAAGTTTCCTCGTATTCTTTTTCATCTTCTGGGTACTTTTTATAATTTCATTTCTTTATTAGAACTGAACTTTAAAGAGTAGAATTCATGTGTTTCTTTTATTGTTTTTGTCTGTCTGTGAAAATGATTACCTGAAGGCTAAAATGTTTAAAATGGTTGAAAAAGTAGTGTTCCTTTGTAAAATTTTGTTAGGGTTCTTTTAGTAGTGGTTTCTAGCAATGAAAATGGTATGTAGGATTGTCAAATAGTAAAATAGGTTGTTATTTGTGGATTTTTTTTCATTAACCTATGAAAAGTAATGTCGTTTTTCTCATATTGTGTGTTACTTTCAACAACAATAACAAAACACTATTCCATATGCAATGGGGTAAGGGGAGGTAGGGTAGTAGGCTGCCCCAACGTCAGGTTGAGAGCAACTTCTGTGGAAGACCTCCGGCAGTCAAAAAATTAAAAATAAAGATAAAATACAATGCATGTATAAATAAATAAATACATAGTTGAACACTCTTCATAAGCAATATTCGTATGCGCGTCTGTAATGGGAATTAATCCCTACAAATAAATCTTTACGGAAAAAATATCTGCATATAGACAGAAACGTAAGACCCGACTAAATTTAAAAAGAGGAAACATGAAGAGAAGGATACACAGAAGTCAACGATAGCGAAAAAGGAATAAAGTCAAAAGGGTTAAAACCTAAATTAAGGCAACACTATTCCGCTACCCTAGTTCTAAGCCTTCATAAATTCCAATGACAAAAAACGTATAAAAAGTAGAGGTCATGTAAATTACTACGAAGGCATTAAAAGAAGACAGAGATGATACACCCTATAGATGTGGCCCGCACTACACGGATACCCTGGTCTTAAGTCTCCATACTTTCCTATCAGAAGTCATGTCCTCGGTAAGGGCTAAATCCTTCAAATCAGATATCAAGCAGTCTTCCTACTTCCGCCTTGGTCGTCCTCTCCTTCTAGCACCGTCGATTGTAATCGACTTTACCCTCCTGACCGTATCCGATGGTTGTCGCCTAAGGACATGCCCAAACCACCGTAGTCTTCCCTCCCTCAATTTTTCGGATACAGGCACCACCCCCAAGGACTTCCTAATAGCAGAGTTTGGTGTCATGTCCCCCACAGAGTCCTACCACATACCCATCGAAACATTCTCATTTCTACGGCCTCCATCTTCCTTACGTGATCCTTCTTGATTGCCCAACATTCTGATCCATACAACAGCGCTGGTCTTATTGTCATTCTATAAAATTTTCCCTTAAGTTTTAGAGACACCTTCTTGTTACATAAAACTCCAATTCCAACCCTCCACTTTAGCCATCCCGCCTTTATACGGTGTGTAACGTCATCATCCACACACCCCCATCTTTATGTATCATAGACCCTAGGTACTTGAAACAATCCTTTGAGGGGAGAACGTGTCCTTCTATGTATATTTCTATATCTTCATCGTTTTGGTTCCCACTGAAGTTTGAACATAAATACTCTGTCTTATCAATATTGATCTTTAGACCTTTTTCTTATGATATGCATCTTGGTTATTGGACTGAGTGCTTAGTGTGTTATTTTCGTAAATTTGAGAAGTATTATAATTAGGATACTTGGCAAGATGGGCAGATCGAGTCGGCCTAAGGTAAAGCATGAAAAAGTCGGGGAGCTCCCACAACATGATTCCAGTGAAGGAACTTCTGCCCGGACTAGGCTTTTCAATTATGAAGAGATTATGTTAAAGAGGAATAGTAAAAAACTTAGTGATAACCCTGAAAGTGTCAAAGAAGGAAATATAAAAGTGAGGAAGATAGCGAAGGACAGGCCAATCCTGAATGATTTTAATGTTAACAAATCTGATGGCGGTAATGGGCATGGAAAAGATTTTTCTCTTGGTCACGAAAAGAACCTATTGGAGGGAATGGAGAAGAGAAGTTCCTACAAGAAAATAGAGAATTCATATAGGAGAAAAGATAACACATATAAACAAAAAACTAGGGAGAATCATGAGCCTGAAAGAAGATTGAAGTCTGAAGTGAGAAAAGATACGGGCATTAAGGATGAAGGCAAGTATGAGAAACAAATTCATGTGAAGAGAAAAACTGAGCAAACAGCTGGTGGTTCAGAAAAGGTAGATGCAAAGAAGCATTCTATAGACTTAGCGGATAGGCATAGCCATGTAGGTAGAAGTGAGGGGAAATTTGAGAGAGATGACAAGAGAAAACACCAAACTAGAGACCATGAACAAAATAGAAAGGCATACTACTAAAAAACATGAGACACGAAAGGCGCATGCTTCAGAAAGTAGTGACAAGAAGGAGACAAAAGAACTATCAAGATCCCATCATGAGGACTCACACCATAAAAGGAGACGGTCACAAAGCCGGGAGCATGACGACAGCCATAAAAGGAGACGGTCACAAAGCGTGCATCTCATCATGCGTCAGAGCATGAGCTTTCCTCACGTGGTGTAAAAGGGAGGTCTGGAAGACAACATTCTGATGACAGGAGCAGAATGACAAGTAACGGTTCAAGTGGTCACCATAGGTGACATGGCGGGTCCACTAGTGGTCTTGGTGGCTACTCTCCAAGGAAGAGAAAGACTGAAGCTGCTGTTAGGACGCCCTCCCCAGTTCATCGCTCAACACAGAAGAGAACAGCTAAGTGGGATCTTGCACCTTCAGAAACAGAAAAAGTGGTTTCTGGTTCAGCTTCTTCTAATTTACAAGCATTAAGTCAAATGGTTTCCTTAAACATGCATGCTATAGTCAATCCTATTCCCAGTGTTTCTACTACAGGGAAGCCTCTAGTTGTGGCTTCAACCAGCTCTTTATCCTTTGACTCAGTTCAGCTGACAGAAGCTACCAGGCCTATGAGAAGGCTTTATGTAGAAAATGTTCCTGCTTCAGCCTCTGAAAAAGCTATGATGGAATCCTTCAATAATTTTTTGCTTTCCTCTGGCATTAGTCATATCCATAGGACCAAACCATGTATTAGCTGTATTGTAAGTCTGATATGTTATTTTAATGGTGTACATTTTTCTTCTTTTTAACATGTAAATGCTATATAGAAAGATGTCATGTTATGCCTTACAAATTGCAGATACACAAAGGAAAGGGCCAAGCTCTTGTTGAGTTCCTTACGCCAGAGGATGCTTCTGCAGCTCATTCTGTTGATGGCAGTATTTTCTCTGGTTCCGTTCTCAAAATCAAACGGCCAAAGGACTTTATTGAACTGGTAGTACAAATAATAACTCTATTGCTTTATTTATTGAGCTTTGTGGATATATGTATTCTTTTCACTCTTTCAGATTTATTATAAAGTTTTCTTTCATGTTTGTGTATATTGAATTTATATATGGACAATCTTTAGGAATCTCTTTTGCTTAACAGCTGTTGTGTTATTATTAACACTGCAATTTTTTGTCTCAAAAACCAAGAAAAAGTATTTATGACATTTCATAATTAGTCTTTGTAACTATTGTTGTTGGTATAATGACTTACAGAAATTTTTATGTTCTGTTTAACTAATTCAGTTGTCCGCAATCATATTTATTTGGTACTGTATGACTTGTAGTCTGTAGAACATGTTGATTAGAAGTTTGCTATGTTTTTAATTATTTCTTTTCATCTACAGAAGTAATTATTCCTTTCTCTACAATTTGGTGTGCAATTCTTGAAATGCTCCTTAAATCAAATAGCTTTTACAATATTTTTACTTGGATTTAGGAATACCCATTTAAATCCATAAGCTTCACACTTTGGGTTATGTGTTGTTGCTGTGCACTGATACATGAGGCTTATAAAGATGGCATTTGGCACTTCGGTGTGGTGCACTGGGGAGCTCTCCCCGCTACAGAACCTCTCATTTTCCACTGGACTCATGTGCCAAACGCACCTTAACTAACTTCTTATATTAAGGTGCACTTGTGTGTTATTATTAAACTGCTCCTTAAATCAAGTAGCTTTTACAATATTTTTAGTTGTATTTAGGAATACTCATTTAAATCCATAAGTTTGACACTTTGGGGTATGTGTCTATGATGTGCACTGATACATGGGGCTTATATTAAGGTGCCATTCGGCACATCAATATGGTGCAGTGGTGAGCCCCTGACACACCTCTTATTTTCCCCTGGATAATTTTTGAACTGATGAAGCCTAAAGAGTTTTATCATCAAATGTTTCTGCACATCATGGTGCATTTATGCAATTCAGAATATTGTTGTACTTTCGGACGTCAAATAACGTGGATAACTTTTATATGCTTTGCCTTCATTTATTTAGTCTTAGATAAAATATTTGTAATTTAATTTGCGCTCTGTTCTCCCAGAAAGATGCTAGTACATTTTTACTGCTTTGCTGTTTCTGAGGTCTATTGTGGTTACCATCGTAGCAGGTTTTCAGACAGTTGCTATTTTCATGCAGACTGGTGAACTGGAGAAATCAGGAGCAACAGCGATCACAGTCAGTGATGTTGTGGAGGATTCACATCACAAGGTATGTGTTCATAATTTGAGTCTTTGCTACTCTTTTCCATAAATGGTGTGTATTGCATGCTATTAAGGCACTGCCTGCATTTTTCTAATTTACTTGTACTCATCTTGTTGTTCTTTTTTCCTTTTCCCTTTTCAATATTACAGCATGTACCATTTGCGGATGACTTTCAATCTACTTATGCTGTTTTTTCCGTTTTTTGTGGCAATCTTTATATTATTTCCTTTTCTTGTGAGTTGGTGCAGATATTCATCGGTGGAATTTCAAAGGTTCTTTCATCTGAAATGGTAATATGACTGTAGAAGTCCCAATGCTGCACAGAGATTATCTAGGGTCCTTTTAAACTGACTAGGATTTGTATGCAATTTTCAGTTCTGGGAGATTGCTAATTCCTTTGGTCCTTTGAAGACATATCACTTTGTTATGAACAAGGATCTTGGTGAACAATATGCTATGCTCGAGGTAACATGGAGTGTATTGTGGTTGCCCTTTTTTTGTGCACATGATTGTAAAATCATTGCTGTTGTTCTCACTACTATTTCTTAGGTCTATTATTTTCTTTTGTACGTGTAACCAAATCCACTCTGCCGAACTTGAATATCTAATAATTTAATGTCAGTATGTCGATCAATCTGTTTCTCACAAAGCCTGTGCTGGTCTGAAAGGAATGAAGTTGGAGGGTAAGTAATCACTGCAGTTGAGGCTGTTCCTGATGGCTTTTCCTCGGTACTAACAGGCACCGTTGCTTTCTAACTAGCTTCAGCTGTAGTTTTTTTTCTCCCTCACTGGCAGTAATATTATGTGGAGACTTGTCCTAACTAGAGATGCTTGTCCTAGGAAAATAGTGGAGATCTAAATTCCTATATTATTCCTGAATTTGCAAGGCCACTTCTTCAGAAGCCTACTCAAGTCCTTAATGTAGTTAATGTTGGTTATGATCAAATCTAGATGCTGTAGACAAGTTTATTTTGTGGTCCACTTTGTTTTTTTCCTGGAAGGAAAATCATCTTCCTTATCGTAATTATTGTTTCTGTTTTGTGGCTTAGTTCCCAGAAAACTTTCATCTTTATCGGAAACTGAGGTGGAAGAATACTAGAACATGTACGGTTGAGTGTTCCAGGTCTTACAAAATCCTTATTTCAATTTTTCTCCTTTCATGGTCATATTTCTTTGTGGTTAATCTGAATATATATAATATATATATATATATATATTATGTGTGTGTGTGCGCGCGCGCGCGTCAAGTCTGCAGGTTGGTACTATTAAATCTTTTAATGTTGTCAAGCATGGAAATGTTATCATCACAAATGGAGAGAACAAATGGATGAATATGAGGGAAACTGGAAATATACAGAATGTAGTAGATGATGAAATGAATGTTGAAACCAAGACTGCAAAAGAAGTTGCTGATTGAAACTCTGGAGGCACTGCTGGTATAACCTTTTCGAGTAATTCTCCCGAAGTTTTGCCAGACAACAGTAAATGTAAGAAACCTGTTAGCAACCTTTTGGACAGTGTTTATGAAGACAAGGTGAGTTCGAAGGTAGTATTAATAGAGAAGACAGAAACCATGGGAGTTTGGATGATGAGCCAGATCAGCCTGGGGGACTTGATAGCAACAGTGCTGCTGGAGCTCAGGTTGATACTGAAATGGTTGTGGAAGATCCGACCTTGGAGACTTTAGACAAGACAAATTATCGAGAGATCCCTAATCCGGTCCATATCTCAAAAGACGAATTCAATTATCGTTTTGACAGGTATTCTGATAATAACTTTAAAAGTGAACCACAAGTGTTGATAAGATATTAGTAGCTGAAGAAAATGCAAATCCTGATGAAATCGACGGAAGATTACCAGATGGTCATACTAAGGTGGCATCGAAGATCCTGCCTTTAAGAGAGAGTCAATAACAAGTTTCAAGAGATCACTACCCTGCTGAATAACCCAAAAGAGAAACCAGACATTTGATATGACAAGGTGCTAATATTGATAGTGAAATCATGAATGTCTCTAAGAAATTGTTGCCCAGAGAAGATTCACATCAGGTGGAAGGTGATGGAAAGCTACCAGAAGCAATAGATGGTTCCGCAGGTAGTACGGCTACAGAATCAGAAGCTATTCAGAAGGATGAAAATAGCAAGGATAACAAATTGAAACCAATTTTTGAGCCGGGTTGTGTGTTGAGTATAAAAGAACAGAAGCATCTTGCATGGCTGCACATTCTATACATGGACGGTTATTTGATAACCGGTTTGTAACGGTAGAGTATGTTGATCCGAACCTGTACCGGGTGAAATTTGCAAAATGAATTGGATCGCTGCAATCGGAGATAAAACTGTTTCACCAAATCTGTAAACTCCCCAAATGCTTATCATTTCAAATATATTCTTCATCATCATGCTACATTGGAGTTTTACATACCTAGGCCATACAGGGAGACGAGATCAATTTTTTTCCGAAGTTCGATCAGGTTTGAGTAAATGACCCTTTGTTGGGGAAGTGGAAGTAAGAGGTGTTAAATCTATCTGAACAGCTTGGTGATGGTCACTCCATTTAAACTCTTCAACTTTTATTAGACATTACTGTGAAAGTAGATATATTTTCATGGAAGTTTGTGTATTTTGTAGTCTTGGAAGAATAGGGCTACTTTACTTCTCCCCCCCCCCCCCCGGATCACCATTAATGCAGGGATAATCTTATTTTACATTGCAGATTATTGTACTAGACATGCAATCAATGAATTTGGAAAACGGCTCAACTTAGTGTGCATTTAAATGAATAATTATGATTTTTTATTTTATAAAAATTGAGTTTTCTCTTTTTTCTTTTTTTTTAAAAATAATTTTATTATATAATAATTTGATTTACTTAGATTGTAGTTTGTAACACTATTACTTAGATTAGTTTTTCAATTATCATAAACTGCCATCATTTTAACAAATTGACTGTGTTTGTAAAATGAGGATATTGGAATGAATAATAGCAAGTGCTAGAATAATTGGATTATTTTACAATAATAATTAGGTATTGTCATGACTACAATGTGAATGAAATTGTTTTATTTATTTAACAATAATCACATATGTTGAGGAGTTGTTAACTGCTGATAGAACGGGCAGCTAGACGGCCCTTGTACATTATTAAACCAAAAAAAAAAAAATAACTTCAGTGACCAAAAATCTCAGATAATATACGATTTTGACCAACTTTTTTTGGATTTGCGAAAATGACCAACAAAATCGCAATGCGATCTTTAATTCGCATTGCGATCTCCACTATCGCAAATTCGCATTGCATTTCGCGTTGCGATAGTTGAAAATCGCGTTGCGATTTTCCATTTCGCGTTGCGATAGTCTACAGTTGTCGTTGCGATTTTCCATTTCGCATTGCGATAGTCTACAGTTGTCGTTGCGATTTTCTAAATTCGTTGCGATTTTCCAAATTCGTTGCGATAGTCTACAGTTGTTTTAAGGTGCATGATTGTTAATTGTTTCCTGAATAATCACATTGTGTTGGAAACAAGTGTTGGTAATGCTCAATCCCACATAGTATTGGAAACACTATTGTGAATGGTATTTAAGGCTTGATTTCCCACTTCCTTGTTGAGTGATAGAGAACAAGGGGGACTCTCGCGCGCCGCCGCCGCAGCCGTCCGTCTCGTCTCGTCTCGTCTCGGGTCGTGGTCGTGGTCGTGGTAATACGTGTCTTCGACACGTCCGTGCAGATACTATCTTTTTAGAGAAAATTCTTAAGAAACAAAATCTTTTTTTTAACTATCGCAACGAATTTGGAAAACGCAACGACAACTGTAGACTATCGCAACGAAATGGAAAATCGCAACGCGATAAAACTATCGCAACGAAATGGAAAATCGCAACGCGATTTTCAACTATCGCAACGACAACTGTAGACTATCGCAATGCTATCGCAACGAATTTAAAATCGCAACGACAACTGTAGCTATCGCAAAATCGCAACGCGAAATGGAAATCGCAACGCGATTTTCAATCGCAACGCGAACGCGATTTTCAACTATCGCAACGCGATCGCAACGCGAATTTGCGATAGTGGAGATCGCAATGCGAATTTGCAAAATCGCAACGACAACTGTAGATTATCAAACAACAACTGTAGACTATCGCAACGAATTTGGAAAATCGCAACAACAACTATAGGCTATCGCAACGCGAAATGAAAAATCGCAACGCGATTTTCAACTATCGCAATGCGAAATGCAACGCGAATTTGCGATAGTGGAGATCGCAATGCGAATTAGAGATCGCATTGCGATTTTGTTGGTCATTTTCGCAAATCCAAAAAAAGTTGGTCAAAATCGTATATTATCTAGGATTTTTGGTCACTGAGGTTATTTTCTCAAAAAAAATCACATATGTTGCGGTAAAAATTGTATATATAAGATTTTTATTAAATATATGATTGGTATTTGAATGAGTAAATTTTTTGAGTAATTAAATGAATGGTTTTTAATTATTTATTTAAAAATGATATAAAATATGAAATAATAATAATAATATTTTAATTAAATTAAATGTGACCCCCTCAGACCGAAGCGGATAGTCCGATCTGATCTGGACTGGCACATTAGGGCCACCGGAGCGACCCACTGTAAATATAGCGGAAAATTTAAAACTTTTCTTAAAACATGTAAAATCATAAAATGATTTATTATTATTCAGAAATAAGAAAGGTTTTTCAAACTCATATATAAAACAAAATACAATCTACATGCCCCCTAATTACATGTACCATACTCTGCAAGCAACGCCGGAAGAACTCCCTTATTGATGTTGATAGTGGTACTGATACAATTCTTTTAACCTGCAATGGTGAATAATAGAGTGATCTTCGAAAAGCTCAGTAATACAGAACTACCAGATGATGCTACATGACATGCAGATAAATGGGAAACCATAATTTCCTTATTGAATCAGACGTATACCAATGGGCGGAATAATCTGAGGTTCCATTAGAAGTTCATCGAGTGAAAGCCATGAAGATCACAGTTCATAGGAAGCATTCATAGTATCTCATTTTTATGAGTCAAAAAGAATGTCTAGTGTGTTTCAATCAAAACCAGAAAAGATATAAATCTTTTTAAAACCATAGCGGAACCCTCCAACCAAACTCCATTATGCAGTTCCCCAGAACTGCGTCCGTAGAGCTTACTCTAAGCACACAACAAAGGGAGCCAACCTAAGGATATGCCTTAGGGCCCATGGGCCTACCCAAGGGTATCATTAGGTCCGTAAGGTCTTATCAGCTGGATCAGGGTTATGCCTCCATACTCCAAATCCTATCTATATAAAAATCCGGTAGAAATCAGTTTTAGCCACAAAACGTAATACCTGGACCGTTATCCAAAAATATGTCATAATCGTAAATGAAATAAATCGTATAATTGATTTCTGCCTGTACCATAAGTAGTCCAATTATTAACCTAAGGGAGTGCCTTGGGGCCTGAGAGCCTGCCTAAGGATCACCTTAAGTCCGTAAGGATTTACCAGCTTGATCAGAGTTGTACCTCCATACTCCAGTCTACCTATATAATATCCCAATAAAACAATTCTATTAGTAACCAATATTCTTCATGGTCCATAAAAATAACCATCATTTTATTCCAGTGAAACAAGAAACTTGATAACACATTTCAGGTACCCATAATTCATAAACCATTAAATTTCATGATTCCATAAATCAGGAATAATTCATAGTTTTCGATGAAAACCGTAATCAAACATCACATACCATGTTGCCATGGTTCATAAACCAATAAATCAATAATTTTGTTAAAACTCATTTCAAAACATATAAAACTGTCATGTAGGACATGTGGAACACACTAGAGGATCCAAGTATTATTTTTTCAGAGACATTTTGTAGTTATCGGAAT